GCCTTATATACAGTTGTTATTTCTGTATGTTCAGTTTTAATTAATTATTCCGCAAATGTTAATTTGTTATTCCGCACTGTTAGGCTTACCTAGTTGTAGGAACTAGGTGCCATAACGACATGTTCATGGAGGGTGAACTGGGGTCGTGACAAAAAGTATCATGCCATTTCTTGGCGTCATCATCTAAAAATTCCAACCGAGGCCGTGATTGCTTCGTAGGCCCGCTAGCCACTTGCTTTCCCTTGGCTTGTCGGGAAGAGCTCTCACATTGCTTGCGCTTCTTTGGCGGGGGAGTGGTAGTGGAGGACTTTCCCACCCCTTTTCCTTTAGAGGCACTATCACGAGCCATAGCAACCTACACATGACAAACACAAAGATGAGAGTGAATCAAGAAATTTACGCCTAAGGTTATTGTGAGGGGCAAAGAGGACCCCACACTTAAAATCGAAGGCTATGCATAATCGAATCACAATATTGACTCAATCATGCATCAATGTGTCATCACCAGGCTATAGGTACTCAAGAATTCCCTATGCCATTCAATTCAAGTAGTCTAACATGCCCGTAGCTTAACTATGGTGCAAGCATAACAAAGCTAAGGTCTACATTACTACACTAAGTTAGTACACTAACTATGACTTACAAACGTTTACAACAACATATAATACCTCCAAAGACCCCACACTTCGCCCAAACTCAAATACAACTACACTCGGCTACTTAGACTTCACCGGTGTTCAAATTTACTCTCTTAGGCATTTTAGCAAACACCTTGTGGGCATCAATTTTGCTCTCTTATTTCAACAATGGTGGAACAAGGTGGACCTCCCAAATTTACATGAACTTAGAGAGAATTATAGTTTACTACTTCAAGCACATTCACAACCAAACTCTTGCACCGAATTTTCGTGCATCTTAAAACCACCATATTCAACAAGATATATCAATGCAAACTATGGGATTTTGGGGTTGTTTGAGAAAGAAGACTAAACTTACACTAAAAAAAAATTCAAAATACAAGAAAAGAGAACAAGAGGAACATACCTTTGAGGCCTGAGAGTAACTTGAGCAAGAGAAAGTTGAAGAATTTGAGAGCTTGAGAGAAGACAAAAAAAATTGACAAGAGGAAGCGGGCAGAACGTTTGGGCGTTTGAGGCAGGGGGGGGGGGTGTTTTGAGGTTTTAGCAATTTTAATTGAAGTGGGAATGGGTTTGGGTAGTTGGGTATGGGTTAGGTTGTGAGTGTATATGGGTAATTGGGTTGGGGTATTTGGGTTTGGGTTTTAATTAACTAAAGAATAACGAAAAAGAAAAAAAAAATTAAAAAGCTTACCTGCAACGGGCCAGCCCAGCGCCTCACGTTGGGGCTGGCGATGGAAGATTTTTGCCACTGTAAAGTGCGCCCCAGCTAGCATGGGGCGCTGGGCTGGGCGCTGAAATAGATGAATTTTTTTTATAAGTAAACTACCTGAGCCTTCAATACATATTTCACACACACTCCACCATCCCCACCTAATATTTTATACAACTACAACAAAACAAAAATGTTAGTCTACTTTAACTAAGAGAAAACAAAAAAACTATGCTACGGAAACAGTAAAAATTGGGTTGCCTCCCAACGAGCGCCTGATTTACCGTCGCGGCACGACTCAACACCTTTTTAAGCATCGACCAAGTCCACCGAGGTCTTGTGACGTGCAATGTCACCGCCCCAATAATATTTTATTCTCTATCCATTTACCAAGAAGGTACTCGAGCTCGTATCACACAATTCCACAACTCCATGAGGCCTCACACTTACCACAACAAAAGGACCTGCCCAACGAGACTTAAGCTTTCTGGGGAAAAGCTTCAACCTCGAATTGAACAAAAGAACTTCTTGCCCCGGCTCAAACTCTCGATGTTGGATGTGTTTGTCATGCCACCTCTTAGTCTTTTCTTTATACAATTTGGCATTTTCATATGCGTGCAATCGAAACTCATCAAGCTAGTTGAGTTGCAGCAACCTCTTCTCACCAGCTAAGTCCATATCCATATTCAGCTTTTTCATTGCCCAATAGGCTTTGTGTTCAAGCTCGACAGGCAAGTGATACGCCTTCCCATAAACTAATTTATACGGAGAAGTACCTATTGGGGTCTTGTATGCAGTTCGATATGCCCATAATGCGTCGTCTAGCTTCCCGGCCCAGTCCTTTCTATTTTCACTTACTGTTTTCTCCAGACTCTGCTTTACCTCTTTGTTTGAAACTTCCACTTGACCACTCGTTTGTGGGTGATAGGCAGTGGAAACCTTGTGCTTAACTCCATACTTTGCAAGAACATTATTCAGCAATTTGTTGCAGAAGTGAGTTCCTCCGTCACTTATCAACACTCTTGGAGTTCCAAAGCGTGTGAAGATGTGCTTCTTGACAAAGCTTACCGCAAACTTTGCATCATTAGTAGGAAGAGCAATGGCCTCCACCCACTTAGAAACATAGTCGACCGCCACCAAGATGTACCTATGACCATTAGAGTATGGGAACGGTCCCATGAAATCAATCCCCCAAACATCAAAAAGCTCCACTACCAGAATATTTTGCAGCGGCAGCTCGTGCTTCTTTGTGATTGTTCCGGTTCTTTGGCATCTCTCACACTTTTTAACAAAGGCATGTGCATCCTTAAATAATTTTGGCCAATAGAAACCTGATTGTAGAACTTTTTGGGCGATTCTATCCCCACCATGATGACCTCCATATGGCGAAGCGTGACAGTCATGCAGTATTGCATTCATCTCTTCCTCAGGAACACATCTTCGCACCAACTGATCTGCACATAGCCTGTATAAGAATGGCTCATCCCACATGTAGAGCCTCACATTATGTAAGAACCTTCTTCTATTATCGAGTGTCGATTCTGGTGGTGTCACCCCACTTGCAATAAAATTCACATAATCTGCATACCACGGGGCTTTGCTTGAGGTAATTGCCAATAACTGCTCATCAGGAAATGTTTCCTTGATTGAACCTCCTTCAGCTACATGGCTCCGATTTCCTAATCAGAACAAGTGATCAGCCACTTGATATTCTGTCCCTTTTCGATCTCGGATCTCTAAGTCAAACTCTCAAGAGGAGGACCCAACGAATCATCCTTAGCTTGGCGTCTTTCTTCTCAAACAAGTATCTGATAGATGAATGATCTGTGTAGACGATGACTTTGGTACCCACTAGATAGGATCTGAACTTGTCAAACGCCCACACCACTGCAAGCAACTCTTTTTCAGTAACTGTGTAGTTCATCTGGGCTGGATTTAGAGTTTTGCTTGCATAGTAGATGGAGTGAAAGATTTTATTTCTCCTTTGCCCCAAAACAGCTCCAATAGCTATGTCACTCGCATCGCACATCAACTCAAATGGCTGCTCCCAATCTGGAGCAATGATAATTGGTGCAGTCACTAACCTTCCCTTCAGCACCTCAAATGCTTTCAGATATGCATCATCAAATTTGAAGGAGACATCTTTCTCAAGTAGCCTGCACAAGGGAGAAGAAATTTTCGAAAAATCTTTAATGAAACGATGATAAAAACCTGCGTGGCCCAAGAAACTACGAATGCCCTTGACTGATGTCGGTGGGGGCAGTTTTACAATGGCCTCCACCTTTGCTTTCTCCTCCTGCAAACCGCTTCAGGACACTTTGTTCCCCAGGACTATACCTTCACGTACCATGAAATGGCACTTTTCCCAGTTTAGTACCAAATTCGTCTCTTTGCACCTAGCAAGCAATTTATCAAGATTCATCAAGCAATTATCAAAAGAACATCCAAACATAGAAAAATCATCCATGAACACTTCCACAAATCTTTCAACCATGTCAGTAAAAATAGCCATCATGCACCTTTGAAAAAGTCACAGGTGCGTTACAGAGACCAAAGGGCATTCTTTAGAACGCATACGTGCCATTGGGACACGTAAATGTGGTTTTCTCTTGGTCCTCTAGGGCTATAGCAATCTGATAATACCCCGAATAACCATCTAAGAAATAGTAATATTCCTGGCCAGCTAATCGATCAAGCATTTGGTCAATAAAGGGGAGGGGAAAGTGATCCTTGCGGGTGGCATTGTTCAATTTTCTATAATCTATGAAAATTCTCCACCCAGCGACAGTTCTTGTGGGAATCAAGTCATTATTTTCATTAACAACTACACTCATCCCCTCTTTCTTAGGTACACATTGGACGAGGCTTACCCATTTGCTATTAGAGATTGAAAATACTATACTTGCATCAAGCCACTTAGTCACTTCTTTTCTTACCACTTCTTTCATGATTGGATTTAATCGGTGTTGTGCTCTATACATGGCTTGTGTCTGTCCTCCCTAAGGATTTTATGCATGCAGAAAGCTGGACTAATGCCTCCAATGTCAGACATCGTCCACCAAATTGCTCGCTTGTGCTCATGTAGCACTCTCAACAGCTTTTCTTCCTGCAATTTAGACAAGTCAGAAGAAACAATAACAACTAATGTGTCAGAACTGCCCAGATAACCATATTGAAGGTGAGGAGGCAGGGGTTTGAGCTCTAGTTTTGGAGCTTCTTCAATTGACGGCTTTGGAGGAGGTCCACTTGGCCTATTTAGGGGCTCAAAGGGGTGTTTCCCCTGCATGTAAGCACAGGATGCATCTAGGATATGCATCATCTCCTCAACCTCCTCATTAATCTCCAAGGTGTCGAACAACATAAGTGCTTTCTCTAGAGAATCGTCTAGATATACACTCGTGTTAAGAAATTGCTCGTCCACCTCCACAACAGATATCTTCGAGAGCTCCTCATAGTGGATGGGAAGTTGGATTGCTTTATAGACATTAAATACTGCTTCCTCGTCATCCACTCTCAAAATCATTTTTCCCTCTCACTTTAATAATTGCATCACCCGTATCCAAAAGAGGTCTCCCCAATATGTTTGGAACCAGTTCGTCAGCCTCATAATCTAGTATAATGAAGTTCGCAGGGAATATGAACTTTCCAATTTACAGCAATACATCTTCAATCACTCCCTCAGGGTGTGCTATAGACCTATCAGCCAGCTGTGGCATCACAGTAGTTGGTCTTGGAGCTCCCAGACCCAATTGCTTGAACAAGGATAAGGGCATCAGATTTATGCTCGCCCCCAAATCGCAAAGAGCACGGCCCACACCAATATTACCAATTCGCACAGGGATGATGAAGCTACCAGGATCCTTAAGCTTTTGAGGGAGCTTGTTTTGGACTCTTGAAGTGCACTCCTCAGTAAGTGCAATTGTCTCAAATTCAGTCAATCTTCTCTTGTGAGCTACTATATCTTTTGTGTACTTAGCATACTTTGGAATTTCACGAAGTACATCCACCAGTGGAATATTTAATTGAACCTGGCTCAACATAGAAAGATTTTTGCTGAACATGTGATCATCATTCTTTTTCTGCAATCTCTGAGGGAAAGGTGGTGGTGGTCTTGCAGCCTCCACTGGCTCTGAAGTTGCATCCTTTTTCTTTGATTCACGTGTCGCCTTAGGAATCAACTCCCCCTCAGGTATTGGCTTGTCTTTTCTCTTCTTTGGCACTTCCTATAGTTCCCTCCCGTTTCTAAGTGTAACTGCATTAACTTGAGGGTTCTTCTCTGTATTACTAGGGAGAGCGCCTGCAGGTCTAGTATTTTGATTTGTTGCTAACTGCCCCATTTTCCTCTCAAGATTTCTGAAATCGGTCCTGAGCTATTGATTATCAAGCAACAATTTCTTTAGCAAATCATTTGTACTCTATTCCATTTGTTGGGGTGGCTTCTAAGGTTGATTAAAGTTTCCTTGAGGTCTATAATGATTCTGATTCGACTGATTTCTACCCCATGAGAAGTTGGGATGATTCTTCCAATTTGGATTGTAAGTGTTCCCATATTGTGCATGTTGATTCATTGGACCTCTGCTCTGTTGCCCCACATAGTATATGGATTCAGGATTAGTGGGGCACATGTCACTCATATGATTGTCGCCACACAGTTCGCAGCAGATAGACATTTTTTATACATGTTGCATCGACTGTGTTTGTTGCATTGTCATTCTATTCATCTGATTTGCCAATTTTGCTATATCGGCTCTCATGGCTGAAAAGTCATCAAGCTCAATCAACCCGACTGCTTTCTGTTTAATTGCCCTTCGAGAATCACCATCACCTTGCCAATTATGATCATTAGAAGTGACGTTATTTAGCAAGAGTTGGATTTCACTGTACGGTCTAGCCATGCAACTACCCCCACAAGCTGAATCAAGATTCATCTTTGATGATGCATCATCTATCCCATCAACAAAAGTTTGACCCAATACCTCATCCATTTGACAATGATGTGGACAGTCTCTGAGTAGCTTCTTGTATCTTTTTCATGCTTGACGAAGTGTTTCGCCATCCCGTTGTTCGAACCCAAGAATCTGACTCCTCAATGACTTTATCTTCTTAGTAGGGAAAAACTTGATTAAGAATTTCCTTGCTAGATCATCCTAAGTACGGATTGAGTTCGCGGTTTCCTTTTTCAACCATTCCTTAGCTTCCCCGAGCAGTGAAAAGGGGAAAAGTGTCAGCCTGACATAGTCCTTGGAAACGTTCGGATAATTGTAAGTGTCTGTAATTTCCAAGAAATTCTGAATGTGCCTCTGCGGGTCTTCATGAGATAGACCCACATATTGCCCTGTGGACTGAATCAGCTGCACCATGTACTGTTTGAGTTCAAAATGCCCTGTGATATCAGGCTTCACAATAGCCTGAGTCATATTACCAAGACTGGGCCTTGCGGCTTCAATCACCGCACGCTCTTCGTTACCTGCCATCTCTATTGGCTGTGGTTGAACTACGATGTCCAACTCTCTTTCTATTCTCGTTCTAGCTTCGACTTCCCTCCTCACTCTGTGAAATGTTCGTTCAATTTCAGGATCAAGAGGAAGGAGATTGTTTGTGCTTCTACTCCTCCACATTCAAGAGAAGAGCCTGTGTTAACACAAACAAGGTAAACTGGAAATTAAAACTTGAATAAATAACTAATAAAAGCTCAATTCAGTCAAGTAGCTAATTTTTAAGTCCCCGGTAACAACGCCAAAAACTTGTTGCGACCAAAAACACTCACGCAAGTGCACGTGATCGTCAAGTAATAGAGTAGTGAGTAGAGTATCGTTCCCACGAAGACTTGTGATTAATTATTGACTGATTCAAACTCAATTAACTTATCGATCCAAGAGATTTTTCACAAAATATAGACATAACTAATTTACTACCTAAAACTATCAAGCAATGAATTAACTAGAAAGCAACCGAACAAATAGCAATTTCAAATAACTATCAGTAGGAGAGAATATTCCAGGGTCACGGGCTAGATAACAATTGTGTTGCGTTCTTGGCATAAAATAACTAATTGATTTATCTGGATTGTTGATTGACAGGGTTGATATTACTCATAAGAATCTGTCGAGTCCTTACTCGCCTATTCAAGTTAACTTAATGCCTATATTTCTATGGAATTAAGATTAACAAGAATGCATTTACAATTCCTGTATTTCAACCAAGCAAGGCAATTAGGTATATGTCTATCCGAATTGCGAATTCGTTCCCCGATGTCCGGGTTCAAGAACTTGCTCTATTTAATTCTATATGCAATCTAGAGTTCCCACTTTCGAGTTCAACTCGAGATTTGTAGATAGTATTTCACTGTTAGCTACTCAGCAAAATAACTAAAAACAGGATTAAATAAACAACCCAATATGATAAAATCAAATTCGTCAAATTAAACTTCGAACAATATCATTCATGTTTTACCCATGACCCTAGAACAATAGGGTTCTTAGCCATTCATGTTCATACAATCATCAAAAATTAATGTTTTCAAATATAAAATCAATGAGTACTAGCAAAGGGATGGAAGAATTGCTCAATTCGTGCTTCCAAGTGTTTTGTGCCTTTGTTTTCTCTCCAAAATCACGTTCTCCCCCAAAAATAAGTTTTTGGGTGGCTTTTATATCAATTGGAGGCGTGTTGGGGTAAAAATAACCGAGTCCAAGTCGGAATAGGACACTCTAGCGTCCCGAGCGTCCAGGGCAGCGTGGGGCGCTGGCCCTGGTGCTCAAAATCTGTGAGTTCTAGAAACTGTTTGCCTTTCTGCTCCGATTTCGCTCCAATTCGCGTCCTTTCGTCCTAAATTGCATCCGAATGATTCCTACACATAGAAACACCATAATTTAGCACAAGTACATTTTATTAAACATCTCAAATCATCGAAACAAGAGCACAATGCCAGGCGATATATATCAAAATATACATACTTTATGACGATTATCATGAATCAAGTCATTGGCTTAGGGAACTCACATTTTTGTTAAGCGTTTTGCAGAATATGCAGATAACCTAAAAAATATGTATAGACCAATCAGTATGTTATCTCATATAATTATAGCATATATATTCCCCGTAACACACAGAGTTGCAACACATTCAATAGTATTTCCATAAAGTGCTCAAAATCTCCATCAGGAAAGTCATACCTTTTTATTTGTTTTATTTGGGAATACCTAATTGAACCAAAAAACAACCCATGGGCCACATAAACATTGGCATCTCGATAATTTTTTGAATTGATAACTTGCTGAGCATGAATTTAGTACTCTGCCTGAATTAGATATCTTATGGAGTTCTTGAAGTAGCCATTACTTTCACATTAAGTTTTACTACCCAAAATATTTAGATTTGTATTAATCAATCACTAAAGAGATCCACCTATTTGTTTGTCACGACCCCAGTTCGCCCTACGTGAACTATCGTGGCGGCACATAGTCTCTACGACTAGGTAAGCCTAACAAATTACGGAAAAAGAAACAACAGAATATAACTAGCCAAAAACTGCGGAATAACGTAATGATACATTTAAGATGTCGCTCAGCATATACAATACAAACTTCTCAAACAGAAACTACATTTTCCAAAACCCAGAATCTCATGATATCACAAGCTGTGGAATAACTATAGTGTTCTAACTCCATAGTGTCTAAACAAAAGAAAAGTACAGAAGGGCTATAACAAAAAAAGAGTAGATAGGGACTTCTCGGTCTGCGAACGCGGTAGATATACCTAAAAGTCTCTAGAGATCGCCTCGCCTCGCTAACGATATGGCTGAGTCGGTGTACCTGGATCTGGACACGGGAAAATATGTGCAGGAAAGGGCATGAGTACACCACAGCGGTACCCAGTAAGTGCCAAGCCTAACCTCGATCGGGTAGTGACAAGGAAGGTCAGGGCCCTACCGGTTATAAAATATAAAGCAAAGTAAGACAGTGTAAGGTGCAACAGTATAATCAAAACAATATCAGAAATTGAGAAGAAATCAGAGACAAATATACACTCAGTACACAAAAACATTGCCAGGGGATCTCCCGGGAACCCGTCCCGTAGTCCCAAACGTAAATACTGGGGGATCTCTCAGTATCCTCAATATGTGTACTAGGGATCTCTTGGTATCCTCAATATATGTACTGGGGATCTCTTGGTATCCCGAGGATCCCTTGGTATCCTCAATATATGTGATGGGATCTCTTGGTATCCCGCACTACAGTCAAAATCAATATATGTGCAGAGGATATCCCGGAATACTCATCCGTAGTCCCAAAATAAAAACACAACAATATCAAGGAAAGAATCCATAATTTCATTCAATTCCGTACCAAGAAACAGAGATTTCTATTCTAACATGCTGCACAGAGTTCACATAAACAGTTTAAGCAGATAGGACATATAATACACTTAAGCATGCTTCCCTAAACTACGTAGTAGGCTTAAAATACAAGTAATGTTCAAGAAGAAGAAACACAGTTAATTTACTTAATGAAAAATGGGTTTCCAACAATTAGCACGTGTACACACTCGTCACCTCACGTACACGCCATTCATATAACAACAATACCAAATCCTTGGGGGAATGTCCCTTACACAAGGCTAGACAAGCCACTTACCTTGAACCAGCTCTATCAAGTCTATACCACGTTTTTGCCACGAGTATCCGTCTCCAATGGCCCAAATCTATTCAAAGTAATAGCATTATGTAAATAGCACTTCATGTAACTAATTTAACAAGTTAATTCTAAGCTAATACGCAAAATTAGGAAAAATGACCAAAATGCCCCCAGGCCCACGTCTCGGAATCGGGTAAAGTTTACAAATTCAGAATTCTCATACTCTGACAAGTTCATTCATACCAAAATTATTCCAATCCGACATCAAAATCTAGATCAAAACCCCAAAATTATGCCTAGGAACTTTTCTCCACTTTTCCTCAATTTTTCATCCCAAACCCGAAATTAAATGACGAAACTAAGATTAGATTATAGGAATACAACTAGAAAGGGATTAGGAACCGTTACCCACTGATTTCCTCTTCAAAATCCTCCCAAAATCTCCCTCACCCGAGCTCTAAATTGATTTTCTAACTTTTGATTTCAATCCCTCGAAATATCTTATTTCTGCCCAGCAAATCCGCTTCTGCGGCCATGGGACCGCACCTGCGGTCCTGCTTCTGCGGAAAAAGAACCGCACCTGCGATAACTCATTAAATTCCTATTTCCGCACCTGCGATCAGCTTACCGCATCTGCTTTCTCTCAAGTGCGTGCACACTTCCGCACCTGCGGCTTCTAGCTTTCCCTCACCTAGCCGCATCTGCGGTCTCCCAGCCGCTTTTGCGGTGCCGAACCTGTGGTCCCATTCACGCAGGTGTGGTTATGACAGGTTCAGCCAACATCAAATTTTCCTAAGTCCAACTCAACTTGCGTTAAGCACCCGAAACTCACCCGAGGCCCCCGGGACCTCAACCAAACATGCCAATCAATCCTAAAATATCATTCAAACTTGTTCCAACCTTCGGAACGCTCAAAACAACATCAAAACACCAATTTAACATCAGATTCAAGCCTAAGAACTCCAAAAATTCTCAAATTACGCTTTCGATCAAAAAGTCTATCAAACCTCGTCGGAATGACCTGAAATTTTGCAAGCACGTCACATTCAACACCACGGAGCTATCCAACTTTCGGAATTCCATTACGACCCCGATATCAAAATTGCACTATCGAACCGGATACTTCGAAAATTCAACTTTCGGCATTTCAAGCCTAAATAAGCTACGAACCTCCAGAACACAATTCGAACACGCTCCTAAACCCCAAATCACCCAACGGAGCTAACAGAACCAACAGAATTCCATTTCGAAGCCGTCCTTACACTGCTCCGACTACGGTCCAAATTCTAAAACTTAAACTCTCATTTAGGGACTAAGTGTCCCAAAACCCTCCGAAATTCCAAATAACT